TCGCACCATACGTGCAATGCCTCATCCATATTGCCCCTTATTTGCAATGCATCCCGAACATGCCCTATGCTAATGCATGGGAAGGCATAGCACTTCATGTGCAATGCGTTTGCCTTGCACCAAATGACGGCATATTCATAGCGTTTGGCTTCTTAGTGTTGTTTCACCCGGGAAGCTTCGTTTCTCCTTGCCGGCCAGGATGCACCAGGACGACCTGGTCCCGAGGGACCTCGGCGGCTGCGTCATCCGCGCCACAGTCATCGTCGGCTACCGCGACCGGTGCGGATACACTGGCGCCGTCGGCCTGCCCTTCGAGTCGCGGCTGGTTGCCACCATCATGGAGGCCGTGGCGCAGTACAGGAACGTGAGGGTCGACTGGACGTTCGTCGGCGACCAGCGGATCGTGAACCACGACAACGGGACGTTTTCCGGGCCTCTCGGCAGGCTGGCCGGCGAGTCGGACGTGGTGCTGGGGACCATGGGGCTGACGCACGACCGCCTCAAGTACCTCCGCGCCACCGTGTCCTTCCTCCAGATGCCCTTCCACATCCAGGCGCGCTGCCCCGAGGCCCTGGCGGACAGGCCGCGGCACCTGTCCGCCGTGTTCCGGCACATGTGGGCGGGCGGGCTGTGGGGCCTGCTGCTGTACGGCGTGGCCTCCACCGTGGTGCTGCGCGTGGCCGTCGCCCGCCTGTCCGGCGTGGTGCCGCCGTCGTCGCGCTGGTGGCTGGCCGTCGCCAGCGCGGCCCTGCTGGACCAGATGTCCATGATGTGTGAGGTGGCTACGCGCGCCTGGCTGATGTGCCCGGGCATCACCTCGTCGCGGGTCCTCACCGCCACCTGGCTGCTGGTGCTGCTCAACACCAATGTGGCCCTCAAGGGGCTGCTCCTCACCGAGGGCGCCGTCTCCAGGTCGCAGTCGTTGCCCGGGACGATGCAGGTGTAACTCAGGGTGTAACGTTAAGGAAATTCACAATGCGCAAGTGACAATTCACAGAGTCACAGGCGGGGAACTTTGAGTTGTAAAGGACTCGCCGCCTTACCCCTGGCCCAAATTCTGCATTGCGAATCTCCTCAATTTCATACATTCCGGTATCTCAAAGATGCATTCAAACTAAAAACACAGGTAATGACATAATTTTGCCGGTAAAAGTTATGTACAATTTGCACAAGAAAAATTTAAAAACAAGAAGGCAATCAACCTTACCTTCTACGTCGTGTTCTTTGGTAATCCTTGTCATGCTTCAGAATCATTTTAGAGATATGCTCGTACTGAAGCATGCACTTTTACTCAAGTTTCGAACTTTTGCCGTAGAAAGTCCTGACTGCACTGTTATCCAAGTTGCGATACTTTCAACACAAAAACGTGCGATGATATCCGAAATGTGATTCCCACGAATCATTGCTCCTCAGATGCAATGACTTCTGTATCACACAAAATTCTGCAATGAAAATCGGAATTATTGCAAAAAACTGCGATGATGACAACACAAAATCTGGAATCATTGCAGATTTTTGCAATGATCATTGCAAAATTCTGCGATACTGTAGCTCATCACACCTTTTAGCAATGATTATCACAGAAAAGTGCGATGAGCTTTGTATTGCGCAGAAAATGCGGTCTGTATCGCAAGTGGAATAACAGTGTGGTGCTCTGAGAGCTCCATACATATGTTTGGGGAAAAAAATCCACGATTTCTTACAGTTAGTGTAGTTACTTGTTCCGGCGTTTTCAAACCCTATTTTAACCCGGGCGTTATGCAGGAGCTGCTGTCGTCCGTGCCCAACCTCACCGTCCTGACGCCGAGCGAGGGCTTGCGCTGGACGGTCAACGCTTCGGGCGTGCCCCTGGAGCGCGTGGTGGCGTGCGAGACGGAGCGGGAGGTCCACCACTGCGAGGACCGCTTCGCCAAGGACCGAAGCTGCGCGGTCGCTTCCGAAACGCAGCCCACGCGCATCAAGTGCCTGCGGGGCTGCAGGTACACTCTGCCCTCGGTGCTGCTGCAGTCGAACTACGTCAGCTACGTGAGGAGGACCTACGTCCTCGTGGAGCTTCTGGACGAAGCAATCCTGCGGCTGCAGAACGGCGGCCTCCTCGAGCGACGGCTGCGGCTGGAGGTGGCCAAGAGGCGCCTCAAGGCGGAGCGGAGCCGCCTGCGCCTTCGGGGGAAGAATCGGCGACGGCGTAGCTTCAGTCTGGACTCCGTGATCCTCCTATTGGCGGGACTAGCGGTGGCCACACTCGCGTTTCTTGCAGAGACGGTCACGCATCGATTGCACGCTATAGTGGGTACAAGTTCCCAGAGGCGCAAGACAGCGTGCTTCAATGGTGCTGCGGAGAGGAAAGAACGACGGAAGGCAGAAATTACACATCACAATCACTGAAAAACCAAACGTGGTCTAGACCACACCAACTGATGCGGTCAGATGAGTGCCATGCCATTTTGACCGCATTAAATGGTATGATCATTGCGCACTAATCTAAAAGGCGGTCTGCACTGAGAATCCGAACGCCTTGAATATAGCGTCAATAAAGGCCTGTTGCATTGCACATAAACACTGAAATCAAAAGTGTGGTAAATTTACTTCATTTGACTGTGGTGATACCTAAAATGTGCTTACCTCACTGAAATCGAAAGTGCGGTAAATTAGCCTCATTTCGCTGTGGTGAGACCTACCCCACGCACAAATTATTGTGTATTTCATGAGTTGGTAATTCTTAGATGTCGTAGTTGTCTTTTGTTCGCTTTGCGATTTGGGGCACCATGACCACCCCCCTCGCTCTCGGGAACTACTTGGCCGACGGCAACCGGTCGACCGGACTTTCGAGAGAATCGGATTCTTACTATTTTCAACCAGAGCCCCACTACCTTCTCACTTCAAGGGTACAACCATAGCTCCTCGCCAAAATTTTCGTTACAGCGTTTCCGCTAAATTGGGCACATTTCAAAGCTGGGATATTTTTTCTCACTCTCGCATTTGAGGAGTAGGGTGCCGCGAAAAACACTTTTTTCTGAAATTGATATCGGCTCGGGTGGCAAAGTGTTCTCTCAGGGGCCAATATGAACGATTTTAAATATCACCCCGATCGGATAATATCTTCAGCCCCCACAACAGTCTTGAAAATCGGAAAAATGGCTAAAAACGCCTTGTGGGTAGGCAATTTGTTTGCACGCTTCCGGCCACTTCCAGGCATGTTCTTAGGCTTAAAAAGTCGAAAGGGGGCCCTTCAAGCTTAAAATAAATTTGTGGACAACCTCACCCTATGATTTATACCAGTTTCTGCAAAGTTAACCCATGATATTTAACAATTCTGTCATGATTTGCCTGTAAATTCCCACGTAAGGGAGGGTGGGGTACCATGTGACACGGCCACCATGTGACTTTGGCTTTTTCTCCCAAACGGCTTGCTATCCAACAGCGGTAAGAAGACTCAAAGGAAGGTATCATGAAGGAGAATCGACGTGCAATAGGTCGTGACTCTCCTTCGAAAAAGACGGGAATGGTAGCGATCAGAATTGAAAATAGTCTTAAAATAGCCCATTGGAAACTTTTTCTATTTCCCGCCGCGTCCGCTGTTTACCTTTAAATTACATTTTAAGGACGGACACATGCTCTGCAAGATGTTCTTCTTTGATGTTTTAAGCGCAAAATAAGCTTTGGCTCGATTCTCTACGGCATAAACTTTGAGTGTTATTGCTGTTTCCCCTAAAACTGTTGATCTGGGCACCATGTGACACTACTGTCATTCGCTATGGGATTCCACGATTCACTCAGTTGAATGTGTTCAGTCCGTGACATTTGTACACTAATAACTAAAACCTTCATTGCTCGGGAACCAAAGATGATAAATTGATAAACTCAACGGAAATAAAAAGCTGGAAGACTTCTTCATTCATTCTTTGGGTATAGGTACGCTGAATAGGATTTAAACCCTGACAAAAGGCCACTGTCACATGGTGCACTAAGGCTGTCACATAGTGTACTACGTGGGGTACGAAGTGACACTTTGACTTGGCCCATTCAACTCGGGATAACTCAGCAACCAAAACAGATAAATTAGAAATCTCAACAGAAATTTTAAGGTGAAGAATCATTTTGTGCACATGACTACTTATGGATGTAATGTGATTGGTAGTATTAGGTTGACGGCCACTTAACAAAAACCGTCACATGGTACCCCACCTTCCCTTATGTCAGTTTCGCCCATTTCGACCGTCTTTTTCTCCGATCTGACTTGCTTCCAGAGGTCAGAAGAGTCGATTTAGGGGGGTTCATTTTGGGTCAAAAATCGCTAGGATGCTCCGTTAGGCGGGAAAATTGGGTCAAAATAACCGAAATTGCAGAAAAATTCATAAACCCTCAAATCCAATTTTTAGTGTTTTGCAACTTTGTTTTAGCGTTAAAACAAGTGCCCGGGCTTAACCAAGATGTTGAGCCACATCGCCCAGACTTTGCAGGGATATAAAGGAACATATTCCGCACCCATCGCGAGATAGCCGCATCCTGGGCGATCCCTGGTTTGGTCCCTGTAGGGCCAAAAGTGCCATTTTTCACTATTAGACCCAAGTTTGGAGCCTCCAAAGAGGTGGAAGGTGACCTCACCAGACCCCAGCATTGTGTGATCTCTTTTCTTATGTGGTCAACTGCAAAGAAAACCATACACCGTTTAATTCTGGGATTTTCGACCCACCCTAATCAGGACGAAGCTGGAGCTAAAGTTCTCACTTGTTAATCCCTGGCGGGCATGCGGCCACCACCGAGTACACTGTCCATAGACTGAACACTTGACGTCCAAATCGTACATGACAGTATCACAAGTTGATGACATTCCCATTTAAGCTCTCATGCTTATTGTACGGGCATGTCAAATTAGTCATCAAATGTTTTGATTCTTGCAAGGAAGAGTAGCTCTGACTCTGACAGTTGTGTCATCAAGAACCAAAATTTCCACTGAGTATATGTCACGTCAGGGGCACAGGAAACAACGTTTTCAGTCATACTCTTTGGAACTTTTACTGGCAAAACGTTTGCAGTCGTAGAAGTGACAGTGCTTCACCAAAATTTCGTCCTACTTTGGGGCTGGATGTGTTTGACAGCAGTCTACTTCGTTGAGGCGCTGACGAGTACCAGAGCGCTGGCTGCAGCCAAGGAAAGGGCGACTGATGTCTCAGCGCGGCCAGTGTGATTTCTGTGCAAATAACAGAAAATGTTAGTCACAGTTAAATCGTAGTCTCACGCTCACAACCGGACCGAAATTCAAACTCAAAGCAGGCCCACAATATGATGCAAGGACCGGCAAGGACTGAATAAAGGACATGAGATATCTGCACAAATGTGTGGGTTCTGAGTAACTTGGAGGATTACAGTCAGGTGCATTAAAACATTCCAGTCGTGGCCGAGTGAAGAACAAGAAGAATCACATAATACAATTTTTTAGCACTTTAACTTATATTTGCGACCCTTTGCTTGGTAGAAGTTAGTGAGAATATTCTATTGTAAATACAACATATTTTCAGTGAAGATGTGCACTCTAAATGCCCGAAATGAGTCTTTTGTGATTCTTCTTGTTCCTCACTTGGCCACGACTAGAATAACCTGTTTTAATGAGGCCGTCTGTTGATGGCGTTACGCAGTTCTAAACACTGTGGACCACCCACGTGACGCCGCGTTACGCTCATCTAGACCACTCAGCCCCTCAACCACAGCGTGATCTTTGGTTGATCGATGGCGAAGCCCGTTACTCGACTGAGGTTAGAAATATTTTGTCTGAAGGCGTGCGTGTACGTGTGATGGAAGCGGGGGAAAACGTGGTTCACATAACTTGAAAGCGTTGACCATGACCACGGACGTTGCAACGTCCGTAGTTGTGGGACTATCCCACCGTTGTTCAGTGAAGGCGGTCAAAATTCCGGACGCGTTTTCTGGTCCAGAGTCGCTGAATGGGACTTGAATCGAACGTGTTCACACGACCCCATCAATGAATTGTTCATGGAACGATAAATGTATTGGTGGCATCACGCGTATCCTTCGAGTCCCGTTTTAATCGCTAAGCGACAGTGCAGCTTAAAACGCGTCTCGAGTTTAGGCCGCCGGTCTTCAGGCTCTTAGTGCGTTGGATTGGTCGAGCGTGGATGAAGCTTACGGTTCGGTTCGCAGATCCTTCCAGAAGGCGACGTTGCCCAAGTCGCGATCCTCGGCCATGGTCATATTGTTCGGATCGACCATGCGAAGGTATCTCACGGTAGCCTCTGCGCCCTTCTGAACCACGGGCTCCCATGTGACGCCGGGAATGCTGGGGTTCCTGCACATTCATCAATTATAGGTCCCGTTCTAATTCGGAGTATCACCAGTACAGTACGGAACGTGTGTGTGTTCAATAATTTGCCTGGACCATCCATACCAGTCCTACAATTTACAACAACACTATTTCTAACAGCGAAGTCTCAAGTGGTTTCAAACAGTGGTGTTTTCCAGGCCATACGGGGCCATACGCCGTATGGCCTATTAACGAAATCGGGGGGACCGTATGGCCTATAAAATTTTCCAGGCCATACGGCCGCATACGCGGCCATACGCCTCGAAAATCCCCAAATACCGAGGCTCCACTCGCCCCAAATGAACTTAATATGTACCCCAACCGCACTAGACTGCTTGTCATTAATCTAGGCTGCCTTCTATTCATAAATAAAAATTTGGGCCCTAAATTATGCGATTTAGACATACATCCATATGCCAAATTGTGGTAAGTGGAACACAACTCCGCAAATGCCACACAGACTGAAAAAATATATTTTAAGAAGGACGGAGTAGTTCACAAGTTCCAAAAGTGGCTTTATTAAACTGTATACCTGACTTCTATCTAATTTGTTCCACACGTGGCGCCTGGAAGGTAGGCAACCCACAACACCGTATGGCCTATAAACTTTTTAGGAAAACACCACGGGTTTCAAAGTGTCATCGGCTGTTGGGCAAATGACCTACACTGTTAGAAAAAAAGACCGTAAATTTACGGAGAAAGTTACTCTAATTTTGGGAATGGAGGCTCCGTAAATTTTCCATCTTTTTACGGAGATTTTCCGTATTTTTACGGAGATGAACCGCTTTTTTTGCAGAAATAAACGCATTTTAACGGTTTACTTCCCTCCTTCTACCTCCGATGTTAATAAAAAACAGTGGTCTTTAAGACGAAAGTGATATTCTCCAAAACTGTTTGAAGATCCACTTGACCACATGCCAGGATCGGATAAATGGACGGAAACCCAAAGGCGAGGTTGCTTTAGGGAAGGCGTACACTGCAAGAAAAAGTGTGAATAGTACAACAAAATGTAAAAAAAAAAACTGTACAAAAAAAGTACACCGGGGATTGTAGAAAGTACAACGAGAATTGTACAAACCACAACGAGGCCGGGACTGCCCAGCACTCGTCATGCCGGTTCCATTGTACTTTGTACAACAATTGTTGACTTTGAAAGTACAACAAAAACCTGAAAAAAAATTTGCCAGAAATTTGTGTACTTTTGTTGTGGTTATTTCCTGCAGTGTACTCTTGGAACACCTAATCAGTTGGTCACCCAACCCATCGATAACGTGAATTAGTCTGTTCTTTTTGATAAGTAAGGCTTCTATTTCATTTATATACATAACTTCCATATTTTTACGGAGAAAATCCATAATTCAAAAAATTCCAATGCTAATCGCATTGCACGGTGTTCCCGTTTCCATAACTGGTTGAAAATCGAGGAAAACATGACAAGACAACCGCAGCCTTTTAGAGCATGCCAAACAATCCAACCTCAGCAACAATGGGGGGCAGTTTTAATGGGCGCCTGTTCGTTCTTTCAGCCTCGCGATTTTCGAAAGGGCGCAGACGGGAAGCATATTGGTGCCAACCCACGAAAATTAATTTGATGTGTCGTTTCTGCTACGAACTTTTTAGTAGTGACAGACTTTAAAGATGTTCCAACGTTGAGACACCGTGCAATGTGTTAGCATTAGCATTTTAAAATTTTACGGCGTTTAGATTTTTTTTAAATGGGGGACTTTAAATTTTGACGGGTGGTACGATGGGACCATGCCGTTGCCATGGAGGTTTTTTTTTCATGTTTTTACCATTTGCTCAGAACATATACGATTTCTTGTTACTTTGATGAGCCAGGAGGTTTTGTTTTGAGGGGTGGCACATTTTTTATTTGAACCATTTTTTCATATCATTAACCCGGGTTTTCGTTTTCGATTGTTGCAAATTTATGTTTTTCGCGTTTACGGAAAATTTCCACGATGAATTTTCGAAAAAAATTTGGGAAATTTTTGTTTTTTTCATGGTTGAAATAGTTTAGAGTTGTTATTTGAAAATCGGAGGGGGGGGGGAGAATCCACGGACCTCGGACAATAGGGGTTCTTGGGAACCCTAAAAAACGGAGATCTCCGTAAAAAAAATGGACCCGTCTCCGTTAAATTTCCGTATTTTTACGGAGTTTTCTGACAGTGTTAGTCCACTTACGAGGTTTGGATGAAGGCAAACCACATGTCAAGGATGGTTCTGCGGATGATGAGATCATCCTGCCGGTGGAAGACTCCGCTCTGCTCCAGCGGATACAGTTGGTCATCAGAATGGCCAACGCCCAGTCCGCCGGCGTAATTGCTGTACTCTCCGCGGTGAGCGAACTCATACACGTACACGGGCTGCGACTGCACCGCCGCGCGCTTCGAGATGTGGCTGGAAAACCCGGACATGAAGTTGCCGTCGGGCATGAGCTGTTCCCGAGAAAACGTCTTGTTATCCCCACACGGAAAAGAACGGCTTTGCTGGTTTTCCCCCGACCTCCCAGAAAATCATGCGGTTTTTTCGTTAGGTAAGTGTCTCAGACCTGAGACACTTCCCTTGCCCTTGTAAGGTAAAGACATAAGTGTTACATCCCGATTTTGATCATATTTTGGGAATCTTTTCCACTATGCAATAGACAAATTTTCCGCTTAATAGTTGCTGCTGAGATATATTACAACAATTTTGAAAGTTAAGGTCCAACTTTCCAACGACACTTGTTGATATCCAAAAGTATGATTTGTTTTATTTTTGGGGTTTAAAAAACAAAATTGTTCCTCCTTTTAAAAGTCAAAAACATTTAAACAACTCAAAATCATATTTTTGACCCCTAAAGCCTCCAAACGGTTTAAAGGTCTGATTTCTGAACAAAACCCTTTTCGCTCCAAAATCTAAGAAAAAAAAACACAATTTTGGACCATTTGAAGGCCTTTTTTAAGAAAAGAAAAAAAACTTTTTGCTCCAAAAATTTAAAAAAACCCCCCAAAAACAGGGTTTTGTACACTGCTAAATCTGAAGCATTGTTGAAAGCTTCATTCGGTTTGAACTGCGCTTGAAAACTTTTTCGCTGAAGTCA